AAAATGCTATCGTCCAATAACCGTATTAACTTATGTTTGAGTCATTGTCCAGAAATTGTTTATAGCGTAGCATTGTACATGTTAAATGAATATTCTTGACATTCAAAAATGATAAATTAATAACGTTTCGCAATAATGTTTTGGTAATGTTGTAATGTTGACAAAACATTGTTTGTCAATTATTAGAAATTATGATTAATCAGTCAATCAATCAATCGATAAAAAATATTTACAAAGCAAATAAACAAATGAATAAACTAACAGTCCTATTTCCTTTGCTGAATTGTAAACTTGTAAATACGACTATACGAATAAAAGGATATTTTAAGAATGATAAAAAACACCTCCCTACCAGGTATTTATAAGTATAACATTGTAAATTTGTATTTAATGCTCGTAGAAGTCCAATGACGCAGAAGTTGTTGATTTAATTGATTGTTACTTTGGTGTTCAAATTTTGTTTTCCGGTTCTTTTACGTGCAATATGCCAATTAAAATAAGAAGTGTTGAAGGCGGTTTATTGATTATATATTACTTTCTTTATCAAGTATATATTAAATGGTATATTTTTACTATACTTCTGAGGTTTTTGAGAAACCATTTTAAATAGCCAAGTAAGTTGTTTGCAAAACCAGCAAGAAGGCGGATATTTAATTTGAATTATCAGTACAACTTCGGATAAATACCAATACTTTTAGAATACAATTAGTCAATGACAGTAACTATCACACTTAGACTATGTTCTCACTATATCACATGTATTGAAACTGATTTAATACCATGATACACATAACATTTTGAGACAATATTGAATGACAGGAGGACTAATGCTGAATTAAACAAGTTGAATAAAATATTATCATGCGAGCGCCCAATATATCTTGTATCGGAGTTACTAGAATGAAGTAGTATTCTATTCAAAATAGACAGATTTTTATCGTGCGTGTTCCTATAATACACCGTATTAACGGCTTGGCAATAGACGTCTTGAACACTAAGTCGAACTACCTGAAATCACACGGCAACAATGTTTGAGGCATTTGATACTCCAACAAGAAAATTGTAAGGGGGTATATTGGGGGTCAGCTTGTCCACCCAACCTTCTCCCCGTCCGGCTGTTCATTGTCTTTTCTTTGTCTGCCCGATAACTTAAGATTTCTTTGACCCACAGTCTTCATATTTGTGAGATTAGACATGATTAATAGATGACCCCTATTGATTTTGAGGATACCAGGTCGAAGGTCAAGGTCACAGGGGCCTTGACTATAAAAAGATTGTCAGCCCAATAACTAGAGATTCCCTTGACATACAGTCTTTACATTTAGTATTTAACCGTGACATACTCCCCTGCTGTATTGAAATTCGACCCCGAATTTCACAGAGTTACAGAGAAATAAACTCTGACCTATATTCAGTCAAGATCCCCGTTTAGCGCCAAATCCCTTAAGTTGAGAAAAATGTGCAGCCTGACAGGGACGTGAACCCGGGACCATCGGAATACCGTACCGCAGCACTACCGACTGAGCTATCCGGCCGCTGAAACATCTTCTACGCTAAAAATTGAACAGTTCTGAACCATGACTGCACACTATGAAATTTTAACGGAACTTTAATATTTTTATACATAATAGCTTCCTTCATTTCTGTTGCTTCTGGTGCTAACACTTCGCTATCTCAGGTTTTGATAACGAAATGAAAAATAATTTGTTAGTCACAGTGTATTTTGCCACACAGATTGTGCAGAATAGCAGATGCAGCATAACAGTATCCACAGGTGGCCACTTTATTACCCTAAGCATTTTAACATTCAACGTTGATGAAACTTGGCAGATATGTTAATTTTACTTTGTTGTTTAAAAGGAACCAATTTCTTAATAAACATCTGTTGAGACTTTGTAAAGGTTTGGAATCTTGTTCAGGAACGAATTAAAGGTACCCGACGATACTCAAACAAAAGAAGCATTCATAACTGCAGGGTGATTTAAAGCCCTAGCCCGCTTAAAAACCGTTATGTTGGGGAAAGCTCTACAAAGCTTTTTTCTTATTAATTGAGCAGGCTCATGGTTTAACAGGCTGGGTATATAGATAAACAACAACACCAATGTTAAGTTAGTCTTTAAGTGGTGTAAACAACAACAACACCACCAACAACAACAAAAACTAAACACAACAGAACAAAAAAACAACAACAAGAAACAACAAAATCAAGCGATATCCTGATCAGAGCGCAGTCAACTATAGAGATATAATTTTTGATAGATGCACCTTGAAAAATTAAACTAACAAACGTGTTCTGAAAGAAATAGAAATAAATTTAGGATAAGGAAGTGTTAAACAATATTTATATATTTTCAAATTATAAGAGCATTCGAAGGCAAAATACAAAAGGCGAGGCAAGACTAATGTCATGTCAATTTAAATTAAGAAATAGCAGTAGTGCCTTTCTTATGTATCACAAGGTACCATACGCATTACATAAGGCGAAACTAGGCCGTTGAGTAGCGATACTGACCTCTCTGAAAGCTAGGTAAATAGCTCCCTCTGTCGGTGTTTCAAATATATTTGGAAAGGGAATAGTAAAATGACAAAAAAAACACCAACAAAAAAAAAAAAAAGAAACAAAGAACAATCAAACAACCTTTGCAAGGTACAAATTTCCTTCTCTTTTTTTCGAGTCGAGTTCATTGGATAATGCAAAGTGTAGGATCTCTCACAACCCTCACAGAATACCTAATTAATAATGCTTATGAGATATTTCAAATGTACGTTCCAATTTGATTCAGATCGATCGTGGGGAGAGGCAAGGGCACCTCAGTCAGAAATCTTTACCATTAACCATTCGTATTTGTACTCATTATTAGAACTTTGGAACTATTAAGCGAATCTATATGCATCTAGAGAATATAAAAAATAAATATATAAATAGATAAATAAATTAATAAATGAATAAATAAATAAATAAATAAATAGATAGATAAAACAAAGATCAACAACGACCCTCAACAATATCGTGGCGCACAGTACATTTGTATGATAACTAAACTGGAAAAATCAAAGAAAAATATAATTAGATGATAGAGGCACACATATTGGAAAAATAACTTAAAACGTCATTACCTATGATAAATCACTCTATCTGATCCGTGTACTTTCCCATAATCCTAACTCTCTTTATATAGAACAATGAACAAAGTCCAAAATGGCTTTGCAATGAGTGTCCTTAAAATAATCGTTATAATAGAAACACTACATCATATGTTATTTGATTGAAAACTCAGCGCATGTTCATAACAGGTTTGGCTGCATTTTATAAAGATGACGCATTTTACCTACAGTCAAACCTGCGAACAGAGGTCACGCATAGAACACCAACCAATGACATTTATTGACAAGTGATATTTACATGGAGATTCTGTTTAATTATTGATATGTTGACCTAGGTGGTATTTACTCACAGGGTAATCCTTATTTGGAAAGGATGTTTTATTCAAGTTTTTAGGTATTGTGATCTTCATATGATGCTATAGGTAATTTGTCGTGACGTCATTAAGTCAATGGTTTAATGTTTAAGCGTTAAGTTTTTTACCCTTTTAGTGTTTATTCGTCTTTTTTGTTTTAAATTGGGACCATACAACGCTTATCATGAAATGGCACGGCAGTGTAACATTAAAGTTTTTATGATAAAGGCGTATTAATACATCTGCAATTTTTTCCAAGAACAAAATTTCACCATTTTCGTGTTAAATATTGAATTCTGCTTAAGCTGTTGTTTTTGTCGTTTTAGGCATAAAATCCTTAGTGATTCCGTTTTTCTCTATCATATTTTCTTTCTTAGGCATTGAATATTATCGGGGTGAGTCAGGGGCTGCGTCTTGTGAACGTTGTTTTTGCCTTGTATCCTGTCCTGTTTTAATTTTGGTCCTGCTGGAATCATTGCCAGTGGTCATATCTTTCTGGGTTGTGATGGTGTTAATCTTTGTTCTCGTTGTTTTATTATTAATTTTTTTACCTTGTGTCGTAATTTATTTTTTATTTCTATCTCTTTCATTGGAAAACATATCGGATTAATAATTTCCTCGTGCGTGTATATAAAATTTAATATTTGAAGTGAGTATAGGCTTACGTTTGTTGTTAGTTGTTTGTATTCTATTAAGGTCCATTATTCGTCAGAACTACTATCATTTTTTATTTCTCTAAAACGTTTAACCGTTTGTTTCAGGTAATTGTTTTCAGAAAATACTCATAAGCCATATTAGGGACGCATCTTTTGAATTCTCTATTTTTGTTGCGGGTAAGTGGCTTAACATAGAGTATTAATATTTTGCATGGAAGTCAAGTCTACATTGTATACATTGTGTTACCTTTACAATAACAAAATCGCGCCGAAACATTGTATGGAACTCCACAGGTTTGTCGTGATTGAGGAAAAGTACATATATATGTTGTTACGAGGCTCAAAGCTATGTCTTTGTTTTAATGTTGAGTTATGCTAAGGGGCCCTAACGTCAGATTACATTTACCTCTGCCGTTTACGAACCGAACCGACAAAACGTTCTTTATTGTCATAAATGCATTCTTAAAAGGAGCTCCAAACAGCGTAGAAAAAATTAAATTTGAAATACTTACATAAATCAACTGGGTAATTTAAAACAGAAATATATGCAGTAGATATCTAAGAAACATACTCAGGAATAGATTGAAAATCTTATTTTTGTGCTATTCTTAAACCGATTTGAGTGAAAAGCGTTGCAACGCTTTTCTCCTGTCAGCCTGTATTAACAATTTGAATTATTCTGGTAAAACTTAGCAAGCAAATGGTATGAAATTTTGGACATAAGCTTATAGGCAAGAAATACATCAAATGTAACACTTATCTTGGAAAATTATCGCTAATCCTGTGATTTTTCAAAAAGCCTCAGTGGAGTTGCTTAAGTGCCTTTACTTTGTTTATAATATTCCATCTGATCACTTAAATGGTGGGATAAAACAGAAACACTTAGTCTACTTTTAGCTTTTACTTACCTAGCTTGTTTGAACAATTGGAATCAAGACATTAAAATGTAGTACAAGACTATAAACACTAAATGGATAAGTTGTTTAATCAGATTCTGTTATTGTTTTACATTTTAGATATTGTACATATAACAGAGTTACCAAAATATTTCGAGACAAATGTTTTTTTTTTCAATACAAAAGATACCCCGAGAAAGTGGTGTAACGTTCAGTAGGAGATCCATAAACTTGTCCGAGGTTGACTTGCACGTAGACATTATCATTTTTGTGAAGATGGACAATGACTGTGTTACCCGCCTGTGTACTTCTTCCTAAGGTCTTTATAATGGCGCTTGAAATTATATTTCCATTCACCATCAGGTATGCCGTTTGCTGGTCAGTGTTGGACCAGTCCTCGAACTGGAAAGCAAATAGGTAGGTGCCGGTTGCCGGAACTGTAAATATACCGGAACTTTTGTCATAGGCTTCTCCGTCGTTAATTACCTCGGAGTCAAATACAATCTTTTCATTATCAAGATACGTCGTGCGACTTGAAAGGTAGGCAGAAAATGCCACTCGGCCGTACACAATTGCTCGTTTCACAACAGAGTGATGTTCTTCATTTGTAGCCTCTAAATATAAACAAAAACAAACGAGTTAGCCAGTCAATGTCATATTTACTCAAATCTTACTTTAAGCCGAATATTCATAATCGTCGTCGTACTTTGCCATTATCAAAGTATTTAAGAGCTTCAGAAATAAAGTACTTCAGAAAAAAAAATGGATTTACAGACAAAAAAGGATAATTAATTATATAATAAAGCCAATTAATAAAAACATCAATAACGTAAACATACAAATAATAGTGTGTAATTGATATTGAAATTTTAGAATAACATTCTTTCACTGGCAAAAAAGCCGAAAGAAATAACAATTTCAATTTATATAAAACAAATACCGTTGGTGACCGAAAAAAAAAGAAAAAGGAAAGAAATTAAAGAAATTTATGTGATATATATATATATATATCATTAGATATTATTTTCAAAAATATTTAATTCATACTGTCGTTATTTAAAGAAAAATGGGAACTTGAATTTTGAATGACAGTATGCCCACTCAAGGGTAAATAAAAAATGGAGACACGTGAAAGGCAAAATAAGTTGTCATTTTGCCATAAATTTTGCCCTACAATTTCATTCTTAACTTCCCCTGAACGAAAAACATCTCATGTCAATCACAGAGATTTCTGTATTCTCCGGAATTTACCTGCCGTTTCAAAATCTTATAATCTATATTGTCAAAGAGCAATAAGTATTATATCAAAACTTTTATTACCCAGATTTTCAGACGTAACTGACCAAAATTATGCAATAATGAACACTAGATATCAAGATATCAAATAAATATTTGATTTAGAGAATCACAATATAACAATTTCGCGAGCAATTTTGCATAGATAATAAAGCGACATAAAAAACTAGATATCAAAAAGTCTGCGACTGTAAAAAAGTATGCAGCTTTTTCGAATGATTTATATTAACAAATCATGAAAAACCATAAATGAAAATTGATATAAGTGATATAAATATGTTTCAAAATAACTTTAAATTCATTTTTTATAGGGTTAAAAAATTTGAAAAAATTAAAACAATCTATAATTTTGAAAAAAAAAACGCACAAATAAGAAAACATAAAAGCTAAAATGAAAGTGATTGGGCCAAAAATTGCGACAAAGAAAAAAATATACACGATAAATGATCATTTGTTACTGAATTTTACTTTAAAAAGTTGAGAATATCGATTGGAAAAATAAAAAAAAAAGAAAATGATATTTCTTACCTGCATTAACAGAAATGGCATACTGAGTTGTCATCATCATTAAGACAAAGAATACGGACGCAGATGGAAGCAAAAAAGCCATATTGTTCAGCAAGGATGCGACTAAAATAGAATAAAATTGTCGTCATCATTATCATCATAAAAAAACAAACAACAACAACAACAACGAAAAAAACAACAAAAAACAAAAACAACAACAAAAAAAAAACACCAAACAAACATTAGCAGAAGTAAACAGCACTAATATCAACCATAATAATAACTTTATTACAAATATAATGACTTGATTTACCTTTCTTAAGTTATTTTTGCGTTTGCAATTAAAAGTAGTTAATTAATTTCTAAATGCTTTAAAATATAAATATAAATATCTAGAAAAAAGTGATCCCTCGGAAGCATTAATTACCACACAATTTCATGAAGAAATTGCAGATTCCGTTTGATTGAGGCTGCACATGAAAAATTAAAGAACAATCACAAATCCTCACGACCCCCTAGCACTGGCTTAAGCTGTATTCATATTTCAACACTCAAAACACCTAATGATCCCAAAGGACAGAAAAATATAATAACACTGAATTACATTTATTTATTAGAATTGAACATTTCACTTACATTGAAAATTTTTACTACGGAGGAAAGAATAAATCATAGATTTGTAATGCATTTACATAAATAATATGATAAATTTAAATTTACAATCAAGAATCTTTCTTTCTCAATTTCGTTGAAGAGTCCGTACTTAAATCTATCAGTCCTGTTAACATAGTAATACTTATATCTAAGATTCTTACCTTGTAAATATGCACAGTTGTAACAAGGACCGCTTTAACTTTGAAGCACCTTGCCCAAACTTTGTCTTATATATCTGTAGCAAATACGGGATTTCGCAACAAACACAATTTAGGTGGTTTTTATATTGATACAAAAAATTTATAATAAAAAACATATCTCTGTTTAAATCATTTAAAATGTTTAAAGTCTCACGTACGCCATAATTTACATAAATTCATTAAATAAATATATATCATAAAATCAAAGCACGTGTTTTGGATAAAAACAACAAACATTATCAAGAAACCAAGACAACGGCCTTGTAATAAATGCATACTTTTCCTAATTAAATTAGCTAACACCTAATGGGCAAAGTTAGGCAATTATGTAAACTATCAAAAATAGTTTAAAAGGATAGGCCTGTAGTTAGAAAACCCACAAACAATCAAATTTTCTGACTCGTTTGTATTGAGGTTGTAATTGGGGATACTGTTCAGTTAAATGTATGTACATCTAAGTCTTCTTAAATTGTATGAAGCTATATCTTATGAAATATTTAAGTTAAATTAAAATTTTTTTTGTAAAATTCTGTTGTTTCCATAATCATTAGTTTAATATTAAACACACATGAAAACAGTGCGTAAACAGAACGAACTAAAATGTTCCCGATATTATTCTTCTATTTAAAGTACATTTTCAACAGTTTATCAATGATCTCGTGCATGCAAAAATCGTAAAAAAGGAAATATAGCAACATATATCTTTGATGCAAATTTTTTTATTTCAAAATTCAAAATTGCCGGCAGTCAGGCTATAGCTTTATAATACACCTTAGTGGGTAAATGTATTTTATTGTAAACACAAACAGATAATTAGGATCAACGGACCTAAATGACCAGAAAAAGGAGATAAACAAATGAGGAGTATTAAGATCTAATTCAAAATTTTTGTCATATTGTTATCAATTTATTTATAAGTGTCACTTAAATCAAACAAGCGTGACTCTCACGAATAGCTATAGATATTCAGGGACAAACTGTTTTGCCGTTGAGCAAAAACCTTTACAATCTTTGCTAAATACTGATTGTTTTTAGTAACGGGTTTGCTTAGCTTAAAGATTCCAAAATTAAAAAAAGTCGTAAAAACGTAAGCTTGATACGTGAAAAGTGAAAAAAATTGAGCCAACGATGTTCAGGATGGTCTATCTCGCCCTATAATTAAATGCAGAGTCCGGTACCAGAGTAGAGTCCGGTACCAGAGTACAGAAAAAGGAGCTTTACAATGGCATACGAAAACTAATACAATTGCTTTGTCTCCAGAAACTAATACTGTTGCTCTGTAAACGGTTGATCTGTCTCAAAACAAACTAATACAGTTTTTCTGTCTCCAAAGCAAGCTAAAACAATTGCTCTGTCTTCAAAAACACTAATACAGTTGCTCTGTCTCAAAAACTCTAATACAGTTGCTCTGTCTCAAAAACTCTAATACAGTTGATCTCAAAAACATAAAATTAGATGCTCTGTCTCCAAACAACTAACTAATACAGTTGATTTGAACATTTTCTTGCACTAAAACAATTGCTCTGTCTCAAAAAAACTTATATAGTTGCTCTGTCTTAAAAAACACTAAAATAGTTGCTCTGTCTCCAAATTTGAACATTTTCTTCACAGTCTATTTCGCATATATTGTTCGCTATATGGCTAATTGAATTATTTGTTTGAAGCTGTGACTGTCTGGATAACACAACGAAAGGAGAGTCAATTATTATCTAGTTAGACGCTTATAAGGACATCAGTAAACTGTTATAACAGACAAAACCGTCCTTATGCCGTTCCTTTGGAGTTGTTCAATTGTTGTTTGGTTTTTCACAAACTCATTGAATACATTAAAGTGTATCTATTGCGTATATTGAACTAATACTTAGGTAATAATTGTACTATTTTGATTGATCATCCAGTAATTTCTGACTTTGATGGGTAATTATATAATTTTTTTTGCATTGGTAACTCGCCCTATTAGTTTGACTAAAATCCTGCTAACGGAGACTTGTTTAGACGTTGTTTCACAGTATGCGATTTCCAAAAAATATTTCATCATTTATTTGTTATGTTGATGCGTAATTTATTTAATTTAATTTTTTGTCTATTTTATCAGATTTGACATTTTTAGTTTGCATTGAAAGATAAAAAGCGATGTTTGCGGTTAAAACGACAGGTCTAAAAGTTTGTCTGTACCAAGTAGATGTTGATATAACTTTCACTGGAGGGTAAATTTATCATGATTTGACTGTTTTGTCCATTAGCCACCCAATTTGATAATAAAATTGTTGTGTAAATGGTTTGTTTATTCATTCACATGCATTTTTGTTGTTTTTGTTTTGTGTCCCCCCCTCCCTCACAATGCATGAACGTATTATACATAGAAGTTTGATTTCTTTTGAAGCTAATAAATTCATGAAACAGTAACAAAAAAACTATAACCCAAACACAAACAAAAGCCAATCATTTAAGGAAATAAAAAGAAATAAAAAAGAAAATAAGATTTGTCTGCGATAAAATGAATAGTTTGAATAGTTTGAGTTTGGGTCATCATGTTCAAACATTTTCGCTAGGGCATACTTAAATGATATCCAGTCCATGATCGTCAGTGGCGACTAAATGGGTTTGAATTACGAGTCCATGCATCTGCAGCAGGTGGGTGGTTTTGACACCTGATGTTACTTTAAGTTTGTAACACCCGGGGTTAGCAAAAATTATCTGACATTCTCTTTTCGGCCGTATGACTGGATTGTGCTGGAGGGCTTAACCCTCCCCCACTGCACCCAAATAATTAACCTATGCTCATACTTTAGTAAACTAACTTGCCTTAATTTTTTCACAAATGTAAAGACCTACATTTGAAAGTTTCTGACATACTATTTCACACGAACCCATTTCAATGGAGTTTATTTAACCATTCATTGAAACGTCGAGTTAATCAAGAAAATATAAGCGCGTTCATAAAAAGGTCAAATGCAACAGTGTTAATATCTTATGATTTAATCTTTTTTTTTAAAATACGGATATGTTTGGTCACACTGTGACTTTAATGTTAACAGGTTATCATTTGCCTAAAATATTAGAGAGAACTTCTCACACATTCCAAGATAATGTAAATGTTAATTATTTTTTTACTGAGTTGAAAGGTTTATGTTTCAGCCAACCAAATTAGTGTATTTGTAATATTGTGATCACATTACTAGGTTTGGTGTGTAGTTTCAAATTTTAAAGCTAGCGGAAGGTTTTGTATTTTGCTTCGCTCTTTGTATTGTCTGATAAAGTTTCATTAAAATAAGTAAAGTAATAAATAAAAACGGACGACTGATGACAATTATGTTTATGTTATTTCGTTAAAATTCAAATGAGACATTATATTAAATCTTTAAACTCTTTCATCTCCTCTTTTGATTATTACAATCAGTCTTACTGCCTGCGCATTCCTTGCCTTTCGGGTAAGTCTTGTACGCTGATTTTGACACAATAATTCCTGGATGTTATCCGAAATGACAAGACAAGAGAACACGTGTTTTGTATCGTTGCATTCTTGTCTTTTTTGCACCTGAAAAAGAAAACATGTAACATTGAATCATTTATAACATTAGAGCAATAAGTGAGTTAAGTATTACAAAAGTATAAAACCGAATATGACATTTGACTTATACCTGTACTTTCTAAAATCGATACATATGAATCCCTTAAGAACGTCTAAAACGGCAGAATTGTTAATGTTGTAGGCTCGGTTTAATTGAGTCTGTTCATGGCCGGTACTGAGAGATGCACGTTACCGTCCATGCCTACTAGCACACGCTGAATGCAACATTTAAATATGGTAAATGTGCAATTTTGCATGCCTTAATGTCTTGAAAAATGTAAACCCTCTAAAAAATAATTTTATTTTCATGAAAGTTTCAGACTAGGTTTGATCGTGTCTGTACACGAGGGGGATAACGAAAACGTACAAAATCACTCACGACCTCTAGCACCGGCTTTTTACGGCTGCCACACAGCACTTTACACTCGATGTCTCATAAAGAAGCATAACTACCATAAAGTTCCTAACATATTTTAATTTATTTATTTCCCTTTATAAAAAGAGCTAATTTTCTTCTCGGATAAAAGGTAGTATTTAAAATCTCCCAATCACATAAAACATAAGAAGATTCAAATAATATTTAAATCAGCCAGAACTGATAGTCTCTGCCTACTCTATTGTGGACCTTAACTCAACCAGAGCACGACCTGGGACATAGAAGCTCCAAAACGGTCTTCCTGCGACAAGGCTCGCCCCAGGCCGTGCCAGTTGCACCCCCGGCCCTCGACCCCCAAGGTTGTCGGGAGTAAGGAGTACCCCCGACTTCACGATGAGCCAACATACGGGTAGTACAGGTCATAGTTCCAGCAATCGTAATATCTATATAATTCTGTATCATATCAATATTATATCATATCATATCAGCATTAGAAGTGTAAAATATGTATGAATAATATACTAGTTGCCTGAAGCTTTTTTATAATGTGTCATCAAATTATATATCTATGACATTATTTTTAAAATAGGGCCAAGACAACACTCTTTATGTATATCGCACTTCTCCGACTTTGGATGGTAATATAGTTTTTTTCTTTTGAGATTTAATCTTTTAACAGTTAATTTCCTTGTGCTTTAATATAAGATGTATATTCAGATACTTATCAATTAGGAACTGAAATATCGACAAGAGTTTGATAGGGAGACCAGCTTTTATTGAATTTATCCAAATTACAGGAAGAGTATATACTTTTTTACATTAATATGAAAGACTTACGTATTATGAAATCTTTGTATGTTAAAATTTTGGTTATTATACCTACACGTGTAAATATATCTTTTTGCAACAAGAAAAATAAAATTTAATGTTTTATCCGTTTATCCCACAAAGAATTTTTACTTTTGAGAGTTCATAATCTGAAATGTTCGGGCATTTAGTTTTAATGAAATTTTTAGTCCGCAAAAAATGACTTACATACCGACATTCATAAAACAAGTGTAAAAGTGTTTCGTTACTTTCCCTGCAAAAGTGCATGTCA